CCTTCACCCTCACCTCAAAGGACACAAGATGGGGGACTTGGTTAGAGAAAGGCATTTGGCAAATTAAACACATCTGGGATGACTCAGAAAAAAAYTGGCTCACCGTCARACAGCTTAGGGAAAAACTCAAAGGAAGSCATAATCTAGCCCAAAACCTCCAGCAGATAACAATGGCCATCCCGGCGGAATGGCAAACAATTATTAAAGGGGACAAACATTGGTCAAAAGGAGACTRGGCCGTCATGACTTTCATAAAACCGATTGAGCATGCGCTCGCCTTCATAGGAAAGGAAGACGGGAGAAACAACTGGCTCATTTTCTCCATGCACAAGCTAGAGGAACCAGGCGCAGATTACARCARACTAAACAAAYAATCAGAAGCCCAAATCGCAGTCAAAGAAACTAATCTCAGAAAGGTTAGAGTAATAGAAAACGAAGACCTCACCTTATTCCACCCCCAAACTACCATAGAAGACCTAGAATTCGACCCCTCAGAATGGGCTTGGAATTTAAAACACTCCACAATAAGTATAGACYGAAGAATAAACCTGATCAACTACACCACCAGTCTAGGCTATACACTAAGGCGCAGATCAATAGCCCCAGAAACAATCATAGCAGACCGCTGGAATAGACACCTAGGGGTAGACACGGATATATTAAAAGAAATACCTTGGAATCAAATAGCCACTTTACACCCTCCCAAATTCAAAAGTTTACAATGGCTAATCCTGTACCTAGCTATCCCACTCAACCAATGGCTCAACAATAGAAAAAAGAAAGAAGACAGAAACCCCTTAAATGAACTGTGTGCCAACTCCACAGAAGGTCAGATAAAATACTTGTTTCACTGCTTCCTACTATGCCCCAGGATACAACCAATATGGAATCGAATTACACAGATTTGGACCTCAATTACCGACACAAATCTCACATCAAACCCTACCCTCCTTCTATTAGGATTTACAACCCCCAAAGACTGGACCCCTTTTCAAAACAACCTATTCCAAATCCTACGCAAAGCAACAATATGGTCGATCTGGAGGAAACGTTGCCAAAAAACGATAGACAAACTACCAATGCATGTGCAAGAAGCATGGGGTATCCTCAAGCAGCAAGTGGAAACGGAATACTGGGTGCTCTGGCGCAGAGTCAAAAGAAAGATGAAAGCCAAYGAGCCTAAGGGCAAGGAAATTCAAACMAAATTCGAGGAGAACTATCTGGACAAAGGCAAGATAGCAATCATCAAAGGACAAAGTCTAATCTTTAAAATGTGGAATGAACTAGCAMAGATSAACAACCCAGAGCCAGATCCAACAATCAGCACACCAGACTCAAACACCATTCAAATTAGCTCCTACTAACCTACCTCAACTTAACATAACTAAGGCTTATGTAAATACTACAACATCACCAACATCAACAACAATCAAAGACGGGCCCGGCTACCATGACTTACGACAGAGGTCCAAACCCCACAAACTTCACCCCCGTTTAAAGTAAACACACCACTGCAACACCCCTCACAATCATGTCACCCCCCTCGCAACTCTCTCACCTCTACCTCCTCACTCTACATTTCACCACATTGCTCACGAGCCGCCCCCCCCAAACATGGCATCCCCCTCCCAAGCACTATGGAAACCCAACTCCCCAAACTTAAGCCCACAGACATAAGCCCTATCCAACCCAGCAAACTATTATTACTTACACACTACACACAGTCACCAGAAGGACAGCAACAGCCAGCAAAGAGAGAAAATGCAGGGTTAGAGTGTCAAGCCACCATGGAGGGAAAGTACATCGTAGTAGACTTACTAGCCAAATAGGATAGGATTTAGGGTTTTAGCACCCGTTAGAACCGGTTAAAGACATTTACAAATTAGACATGTTGAGTACCAGAAACACTTATAGACGGCAGAGACTAGAAGAGGGAAGATATAGGAACAGGTAGCCCTAAAAGGGAAGGTCAGGTCGACAGTTCCAGTACCTAACGTGAATCTGACAGTCAAAGGACTGAGAGGAACAGCGGAGGAAAGGTTTCCTGTCCAGTTTGTTAACC